AATCACCGCGGAGACAGACTGAGGACTGCCCAAGTCCACGGTCCACCACGGCTCTGTGTCGAGCTGCGTGTGGCTGCAGGAGCCTTGTTCCCACTTCCCATCGCGTTTTCCATCCACGGCTTTCTCAGCCACGCCAGATGGGAGCGTGGAGGACTGAGTGGCCGGGCGCCCCAGCGCCAAGTTCTGAGCTGGAATCAGAGGGCGAGAAGAGGGGAGGTGGGACGTGCCCATCGCTGGGGGGCTTTAGACACCCTTTGTCCCACACGGAACCAGAGCTGCTTCCCGGCAGTGACACAAACGAGCCACTGCATGAGAGCCAGGTTCATAGTGGGAGCCATGGCCCCAGGGGATGGGAGTGACAGCAGGTCTGTGATGGGATTTCAGGCTAGACAGAACCACTCTCAGCCCCTTTCGTCCCATATCCAACTGGAGCTGCTCCCCAAGGCAGGGATGGGGCATGATGTTCAGATGGAGCCTCCCCCGTCTGCTCCTGCCAGCTGGAGCCCCTGCCCAGGTCAGTGGTGGGAAGGGAAGAGTCTCCCAGGGTTTCTGCTGTCTCACTAGGCAGAGGTTGGAGCAGAAGGGAATGGGGTAGAACATAAAAGAGAACAAGTTTCTATTCACGTTGTGCCAGCTCCTTACCCCCTGGTGGTGGGGCACAGCCCTGATCTAGGACCTCGACCTCACACAGGGTGAGATACTTCGCCCTGCTTGGGATGACGATGGTGACGTAGCGGCCCTCCAGCCCGTAGCAACAGATGGTGCTGACGGATCCCGGTCTGGTGTCAGTGATGGTCCCGCAGCTAAAAACAGAGCAGAAGCCAAGAGGACAAACCACTATAGATGTATTTAAGTCGACAGGGCCTGATGAAATTCACCCTTGGGTACTTAAGGAACTAGCTGAAACTTTCTCAGAACCATTAACGGTTTGTTCTAGAATTTCTGGAGGACGAGTACAGTTGCAGAGGGCTGGAGAAGGGCAAACCTAGAACCTACCTCTAAAAAAGGGGAACAAAGAGGATATGGGGAATTCTAGACTAATCAGCCCAACTTCAATACCTGAAACGATACTGGAACAAATTATTGAACACTCCGTTTGTTCAAACCTAGGGGATAATAATGTGATATGCTATAGCCAACATGAATTTGTCAAGACCAAAACATGCCAAACAATCTCATTTCCTTCTTTGACAGTGCCTAGTAGATGGAGGAAATGGCAGATGTGATATATCTTGACTTTAAGGAGGCTTTTGACACAGTCCCACATGACATTCTCTTATGTAAACTAGGGAAATGTGGTATGGATGAAATTACTATAAGGTGACTGCACAATTGGTTGAAAAACCATACTTAAAGAGTATTTATCAACGGTTCATTATCAAATTCAGAGGCCGTATCTAGGAGTGTCCCAGAGAGGGCTGTCCTGTGTTGGGTACAGTTCAATATTTTCATTAATGGCTTGGGTGATGGAGTGGAGAGTAAACTTATAACATTTATGGGTGACACCAAGCTGGGAGGGATTGCAATCACTTTGGGGGAAAGGATTAGAATTCAAAATGACCTTGACAAATTGGAGAATTGGTCTGAAATCAAGATGAAATTCAATAAAGACAATTGCAAGGTACTGCACTTTGGAGGGAAAAATCAAATGCATAACCACAAAAGGGGGAATAGCTGGCTAGCTGTAGTACTGCTAATAGGATCTGGATTATCATGGATCTTAAACTGAATATCACTGAAGAGTGTGATGTTATTGCAAAAAAAGCAAATGTTATTCTGGGATGTGTTAACAAAAGTCTTGTATGCAAGACATGGGAGGATGGGCATAGTTTGGGGGGGAGACAGAGGTGGCATTGCCCTATGCCTCAAACTGCAAGCCTCAGGCAGGCATGGAATTTGCCCCTCCCCCATGGCCCCGTCGGCCTGACTGGAGCTGCCCCTCCTCCCCCAAATATCAAAGTGAAACTATGGCTATGCATGGGAGGCAATTGTCCTGCTCTACTCAGGACTGGCGAGGCCTCAGCCGGAATATTAGATCCAATTTTGGGCACTGCACTTTAAGAAAGATGTGGAAAAAATTGGAGAGAGTCAAGTGGCCAGCAACAAAAATGATGAGAGGTTTACACAATCTGACCTCTGAGGAAAGGCTGAAAGAACTGGGATGTGTTTAGTCTAGAGAAGAGAAGGCTGATGGGAGACGTGATAACAGTCTTCAGACAGGTCACAGGTTGTGTCCCAGGGTAGCAAGCCCTTGAGGAGCTCAGGCACCCAGCCTCCCCGTGACAGGCTCTGCTAAGGAGAAGGCGCCAACCCAGATCCCCCTGTGAGCAGTTAATTCCCGAGGTGGCTGGGCGTCTGTCAATTAGCTAAGGAAATCCTGGGCCTAACAAAGGGTTATGAGGGCTCAGTCAGGACACACAGATCACAGAGGAATCTCCTGAGGATTGCAACCAACAGCGGAGCTGGTTAGGGAACTCCCCAGGAAAGGGAGCCTAGGAAAGGTGTCCTGGATGGAAGAGATGTCAAAAGGGGAGAGCTACAAGTGCTAAGCCCCTACTGAGAGCTGGTCCCAGAGAAAGGACCTTTCCAGACAATGGCAGGTGGTCCATATCACAGAGGAACTACATGCCACTGTGGAGAAGAGCTGCAGCGGTTTAACCTCTGCAGGGCCTGAATCCAGAGAGGGAACTCTTCCAAGGTGATGGCAGGAGGTCTGACTCCAGAGAGGGGGCCTTACAAGTAAGGAGCCTGGATAGAGGAGCTGGATGGAGTCAGGTAGGGCAGACAGACAAAGATTTACTCCCCCAATCCCCCATCTAGCATGTGTGGGCATGAACGCTGGCTTGTGTACCATGTTTTGGCCTTTGGCTAAATAAATTAGACCCCTGATGGGGCACTGTTCACTACATCAAAGACTCAATAACTCTCTGAAAGCCCACGAGGGGAAACTGAGGCATGGACACAACCGCAGTTCCACACCCAGCTGGTAAGTGGCGCTCAAGGGATGTGTAATCATCAGAAGAGGCTGTTACAAAGAGAACAGTGATCAATTGTTCTCCACATCCACTGAGAGTAAGACAAGAATTAATTTCCCTAGTTTGGCACAAGAAAGATTAGGTTGGATATTAGGAAAAACTTTCTGGCGATAAGGATAGTTCAATATTGGAGTAGGTACCAAGGGAGGTTGTGGGATCCCCATCACTGGAGGGCTTTAGGAAGAGATTAGATTAAGACCTGCCAGGGATGGTCTAGGTATATTTGGCCCTGCCTCAGCATGGGGAATGCACTAGACATACTCTGGAGATCCTTTCCTGCCCTACATCTCTGGGTATCTGTATGGTGTGAATGGAACACTGTGAGAGACCCTGCCTGTCCTCGTCCCCATCACAACCCAATTCAGACTAGACATAAGGTTCATGTTTTTATCAGCGATGGCCATTTACCACTGGAGCAGATTATGGGGGGACACGGTGGATTCTCCTTCCCCTGGAGTCTTTAAATCACGACTGGATGTCTGTGTAACAGATACACGGCAGCTCACAGAGAAATTGTGGGCTCAGTGCGGAATCACTGCGTGAGGTTTTCTGGCCTGAACGACTCAGGAGGTCAGACTAGATGAATGGAAAGGCCCTGTCTGGCCTCTCGAAATGTATGGGTGCCGGAAAAATCAGTTCCTGTTGCCGTGGATGTGAGGATTCTAGGTGAGGAGCAGCTGTGAGGGAGGAAAGAGAACATACAGAGGCCTGGAGAGATTGGCTCTACCCTGGTTAGCCCTGCAGGGATTGCTGCCCAGTGACATTTCAACCAGGATCGGAGACCACCACCGTCACAGCGCTCCCAGGCCCAGGCAGCTCTGAAGGGAGGAGACCACGCCCTGGCCCTGCCTGGCAATGAGACTCCTGTGTCTGATCTGGGAGGAGTTGTCTCACTCACATGGGGTTGTGCTTGCCATGGTCGATCACCGAGTCTCCCACACGAATCTGGGCCCCCCTGAGTCTGTCCCCACAGCATTCGTCCTCCCTGTTCTTCACGATCACCGCGGAGACAGACTGACGACTGCCCAAGTCCACGATCCACCACGGCTCTGTGTCGAGCTGCGTGTGGCTGCAGGAGCCTTGTTCCCACTTCCCATCGCGTTTTCCATCCACGGCTTTCTCAGCCACGCCAGATGGGAGCGTGGAGGACTGAGTGGCCGGGCGCCCCAGCGCCAAGTTCTGAGCTGGAATCAGAGGGCGAGAAGAGGGGAGGTGGGACGTGCCCATCGCTGGGGGGCTCTAGACACCCTTTGTCCCACACGGAGCCAGAGCCGCTTCCCGGCAGTGACACAAACCAGCCACTGCATGAGAGCCAGGTTCATAGTGGGAGCCATGGCCCCCGGGGACAGGGGTGACAGCAGGTCTGCGCTGGGGTGTCAGCCCAGACAGATACGCTTTCACCCCCACACGTCCCATACCCAGCTGGAGCTGCTCCCCAAGGCAGGGATGGGACATGATGTTCAGATGGACCCTCCCCCATGTGTCCCTGCCAGCTGGACCCCCTGCCCAGGCCAGCGATGGGAAGGGAAGAGTCTCTCAGGGTTTCTGCTGTCTCACTAGGCAGAGGTTGGGGCAGAAGGGAATGGGGTA